CCGGCAGAGCATCTGGTGGATTCGAACCGTGCACCTCTGGGATTGTAGTTGCAGCTTCTTGCCACTAGGCCACCAGAGCTCCCTAGTAGAGTCTTTTGATTGTTAAATTTCTTATGATGCCTCCCAGGAGGCCCTTGTAGCGAAACCATTTAAGCACTAGTTTTTCTTGCTGCTGTTAGATCTCATCACATAGATCTAACCCACCGTGCCCCTGTGTACAACAGATCAAACCCTGCCCAGCCCTGCGCTATCCTAACAACACACCCTCCACCCTGCTTTGCCTGATTGTTGCAGTCACCGTGTCTCTCCATCTCCCTTGAGTATCTTCCTCACTTTCCTTGACTCCCCATTTTTCCAAACAAGATATCCTTTTCTAAGGACTAGCTCTTCCTGACACCATGCTCAAAGCATATGAGATGAAGTCTCGCTATTCTTGTCTCTAAGGGGCTCTCTGAGTTCACGTCTTCCAAGATAGATACGGGATTGCTTCCAAGTACGAGATGACTAGCCAGGAGCTTGGTAGATTCAATTCACCTGGTGATTTTATGTCAGGTAGACCTAGCAGTCCGTTTGCAAAAGGCCGCAGCCTTGGAAACCGGAGGACAGTTCTGCTCTGTGCATGGAGGGGTCACCATGAATTATGTTGACTTGATGGCAGTAGTAAATTGGCCTCCTGTTGGTGACCAATGCCATTCTTGGTGGGTGGCGTCCTTGACAGCGGTGGGTAGCATTAGTGGCCACAGTTTGCATTGCTGTTGTTGTCCTGTGTCAGTGAGTTGACTAGGAGTCACATCAACCCTGTGAGTAGGAGATCTGCACCTTGTCCTGTCCTGTGCCGTGCCCAAGCCTGTTGTTGGAGCTCGGTTGTCAGTACATCTTGTTGGGAGTCTGCACCCCCCCTTCCCTGACCCTCCACCTTTTCCAGTCTGCAGCTGTTTTCCAGGGACAGGCCCCTCCTGACGATATACCCACAGTATATAAGAGAAGTTTCACCATCCTTTCTCTAAGAAGTCTCTGATTACACTTCCTCCAACACAGACTCATTTATTCGGACAGTCCAAGGGATATTCTATAATCTTTCCTCATTCACAGTGTAGGTTACACATACCTCTTAGTAGTTGCTATCAAGTAATCCCCAACTCATAGGGACCCCCTGAGTTTCAGAGTAGAACTCAAAGTGAGTCAGCAGACTTCTCTTCCGAGGCGGCATTGATGGACTTGAACATCAGTCTTTCAGTGAGACAAGCTCACAGTGAAAAAGTAAGAAACATACTCTGTTAAAGTCGAACCAGATTTATTGAAGATGTGAGACAGGTTTAAAACAGAGGCATTCGACTTCACAAAGTGAAAACCAGACCCTCAGAAGAAGGGATGTTATATAGCCCTATTTATACAATAAAATCAAGAAATAACCATTCACAGTTTATGAGTGATGCTCACTGATTTAGAGAAAGGAGAAGTGGGCTAGTGTAAAACGTGGCTTTGGAGTTGATTAACTTATAAAGTGTGCTTGGAATTCTTAGATGGATTACATGGGACAATTACGGAAGTGAGGAATGCATTACACGGTGGGCAACAAGACAATAGGGATTCTTTTCTGAAAGCATGTTTCTAGTAATAGATCCTGTAGTTCGCAATTGAAATAAATTTCATCTGTTGTTGTTGTTGTTACGTGCCGTTGAGTCGTTTGCGACAACAGCCCTAAACCCTGCTCTGTCCTGTACCAACCGCACTGCCTCTGACACACCCATCCCGATTACCCCAGTCACTGAATCAATCCACCTCATAGAGGGTCTTCCCC